TATTTTCACATAAAATAAATTGTGAATTATAGACGGTTCTAAATTATTATCATTATTTACATTTAGTTCTTTTATTTCTTTTAAATATATTAATTTTTTTAAATAATATTTAGTAAGATTTTTAAGTTAAAAATATAATTCGTCACTACTTTTAAATGTTCTTGAGAAATAATATCAAAATCTATAGTCTGTAAGAAACTTTTTTTAAATATATCACTGAACATTATTTAAAAATCATAAATTTAAGAAGAATTATTATTTGTTTCTTTTTTTTTCAACATTTACAACTGAGTAATTATATGAAAAAGAGACTTATTTAATTACCTTTACATTCCATAATATGTAATTTAATGGTACTCTCAATCTGGCTAAAACGTCAAACCTTTGCGCCAAAAACTGGCAATCATCCAATGTTCTACATGCTAACGTCCAGAGCTCAACGTATTACTAATTTTAGTGCGACAAACTGTTTAAAAAATAAACTATCCATGTAAGTCTAATTTGAGAACATTATGTTGACTTTTCTCATATATCTATTACACCAAAAATGTTGTTTTCATAACAACTCGATTATTAATAGATAATCTTTATTGGGTGTTCAGCTACAGGTTCAAAAATTTACCATTATTGTTAATCGTTAAGTTATTGATAATTATATTACATTTTCGCAGCCACTTTTAATGAGTTTAGAAGAAGCTATCAGAAAAAAGCGTACTTATTTAAAAAAAAACTAAATCTTTATTGTGTTGTAAGAATTAGTGCTACTGATTTATTATATGATAGGTACAGGTTATTGTATTTCTATAAACTGGTAGTGATAAACGACATGATAATGTTTCCGTCATTTAAAAATAGGTACGCTGTTTTTTCGATCACCCCTAAGCTTTAAACAGCTTGTAACCCATTAAAAATCTTATAATTAAAAAAAAAATCTAATATAAAAAAAAAATAATAATAATGATTAGCTCTAATAGTAGCGATGATATTTTATCAGACGTGCTTAACGGTTTATCCTGTATATATATACTTTAAAAAAAATTTCGGCCGGTTCGAATCCCTTAAACCCTTCCAACAGGTATAGACTAGATTTTAACCAACTTATGACATACTAAAAACATAAATATACAAAAAAATTATGTAAAAATGGTGTTACTATTTGGTCATCACATAATTTCTACCCGCTTCCTGTAGTGGTAACCTATAAATTGTAAATCGTTATTTGATAAACGCGATAAAGATTATGACCGAAATAATTTTTTTTATCATAAAGCCGCAATTGCTATTGGTTCAGTTGGTATCGATATTGTAAATAAATCGCTGACCGAGGACAATAGAGAAACCCAACCGATTTTGCCACCCGTGCTCGCCCTAAATCACCACCCGGGATGCCCGACACCCTTAAAACTGAGATTTAAGGTTGCCTTTAGGCTACACCGCTATAGAGAAAGGCATGTGGTACAACTATAGTGAATAACAATATTGAGATAATCGCAATGCTAACAAAATTGTTGATGTCAAGCTTGATAGTCACGAATAAACTGCTTACAAAATAAATACACCAAATGTTTATCAATCTTTTCTTTTGATTTTTTCATAATATTTTACACGTTAATGTTAAATTACCACAAAACAAAAACTTGTAGATTTCACTCGAACATATACTCTTTGTAAACCTTTAAAATTACATTTTTACTTAATGAATTAAGCTTATTAAACAACAAAATAAAATTATCTAATCTTATTTCTTTCTATTTTAAAATATTAACTATTAGCGTAAATTGTATGTAAAAAAATTACCTAGAAAACGTTCAGTTGTATATTTTTATGTTTACACAGATTTCACTTAATAGAAAATTTTTTATCTTTAAAATATATACGATATTATATTGTATAATATAATAATATTATATTATACATGATCTGCTATTTCCTTATTTACTTTATCTTAATCAGGATGATTAAGATAAAGTAAGTCGAATGAAAAAGGGATATAAATATTATTTCTTATAAAAAAAAACCCAGCACAGGGGGGTCGCTGCACAGTGGTGACGTGGCATAGTTGGATCAAGTATAATGATATCTGACAGTGATTAAAATCACTATCAAAAAAAAACGCTTCGATGCAAATCTTTAGATAGTGTTTAATTTTAAAAAATTGGGGGATTATTCCAAAAGCTTCATAAACTGCTAGTTCCTTGTTTATATCCTGATTAAGATAATGTATGTCGAATGAAAAAGGGATTATTAAAAAATAGTATTTCCCATAAAAAAATTATATTGATCAATACACTTTTCAATAAGTTATAGCATTATAAAGTTAAAAATGTAAAAAATAAAATTGAGAATTTTCACACAATAATAGCATTTGGTAGCTATTTTCACCGTGAAGACAAAATAAAGTCCGA